CCTTGCCGCCCCCATCCTCCCCCCCGCCGTGAGCACGCCCCAGCTCCCACCTCTGTGGCAGCGCATGGAAACTTGGAAGCAGCAGGATGCTCCCAAGCAAGGAGGAGGCGAGGGGCTTGCCAAACGCGTAAGGGCTGCACTAACAGGCTACTCACTGTGGCCGCGCTGATTTATGAGGCTGTCTGGGAGCCCGGCCAAGTCTGTAAGTCATGGACAATTAGGAGGCGCGCTCCAGCCCTCAACCCATCCGCCTCTCGGGCTCCAGACCCGCTGTGCCCCTCCCGAGCAAGGTTGGCCCCCACGGAGACCCCCTCAGAGGGCCCCCAAGGTGCGCGTCCTGAGCCCACTTTGCAGATGAGGACACTGAAGGCCAGGATGCCAGCAGCTGGCCTCGTCCCTTGGACACTGGCCACTGAGTTGGTGGCAGTGCTCAGGATGTTGCCAGTCACCCCAAAGGCAACTCCCTCTGGCTCAAAGGCCCACTTTGACATCTTAGGGGCTCTACCCAGGGGCCAGGAGAGGAGTGCTTGCGAGGGGGACCAGAAAAGGGGGAGGCCACCCAGAATGGCCACTCCGATACCGCAAGACTAACAAGGAAGAAGCGTCAGGGCCTTCAAGCGGGAACACCTCCTAATCCCAGTGTTATGGAGCCCTAGGGTCATCGTGTCCCTGGAATCTGAGGATCATGGCACCTGGTGCCAGGGAGGGCCTCTGTGGCCGTCAGGATCTATCGTAAGCTACGGACAGGACCCTCCTCCCGCCCAGCCCTGGTGGGGCACTGGCGGTCCATGAGCCCTGAGATTTCCGGTGTCACTGGGAGCCCCAGAGCAGCACTGCACTGAGCGCTCACTCTAACGGTGGCAAAACGGAGATGCTCGCCGTCCAGTCAGGTGCCCACTCCCGCGCGTGGCTCCCAAGCATCTGAAACGTGGCCAGTGCGACCGAGGAGCTGAGTCTTTACACGGCCGTCGCTGTTAATTAATCTAAATTTAAAAATAGCCACATGTGTGGGGTTGCGGCTGAAATGCAGGAGGCCTGACTGCGTTTGCACTTCAGGTAAACACGAGCGGGTGGTTTTGCCTCTGTAGGTCCCATACCAGGGGCATGCTTGCAGGAGGCATACTGAAAAAATGATTCACTGCTCACCAGAAACGTAGCTGGAACTGGCATTTTAGACTTGACCAGGCAGCCCTCCCCCTGTGGCTAGCAGCTATCCACTGGGGCAGCACAGCTACCAGGAAAAAAAAGGTTGGCAGCCCCCTGGATGCGTGTTTGCAAAGCCTGGGTTAAACCAAGTGACACAGGCAGAGGTGCAGCAGGGCCCAGTTATGGCTGTGGCCTCGCGGCCAAGGCACGGGGTGGGGGGTGGGGCGGCAGGAGGGTGTCCCCCTTCGTGGATCCTTCCTGAGCTAGGGGAGGGGTGGGGTTCACAAGCCCTGCAATAGCCTCCCTGAGCCTGGGCCTGGCTTCCAGACCCCGCAGGGCAAGGAGGAGAAGCCACCGATGGCCTGGCCTGGCCACGCTTGTGTCCATGCCCAGCCACGCCCCCTCCCCGGACACACACGCTCAGAGCCCAGCTGGGGGGAGGGCGCCACACACCTCCGGCAGCCCAAACGGAGAAGTATTATAAACACTTACAACAACTAGACAAAACAGTCTATTGTAGCAGCCCCTCCCCTCCCCCACCCCAGCCAGGGTGAGGCTGGCATGGCGTGGGGAGCGCTTGGGCCCCGGCCAGGACATCCTCTGTTTGCACAAGCGGAGGTGTTTTCGTCTGAGGGCAGCCTGAGCCCTGTGTCCTTTGTCGCGTCTGCTACTGAAATTTCCTGTCTGTTATTCTCTTCTCCAGTAAGGCCATCTGAAACCCAAAACTTTTATTGCCCCTTTTAAAAAGGCTTTACAGCTCCCCGTCCACCTCATACCCTGCCCTGTGCTTGGAGCTGCTATTGTAGTTAGGGGAGGCTGCTGGGGCTTGGCGGCAGGAGCTGCAGGAAAGCAGGGCGAGGTATGTGGGCAACACGCGATTCCGCAAAGTCGGCAGGAAGACCCAGGGTGTAAATCTCCGGCTCGCTGGCTAGCTGGTTAGCTGAGGAGCTGGTTAACACAGCTAGCCGAGCGACATGGCCAGCAGCAGCGCAGGATTCGTGACACGCGGGGACGGGGCTGCTGTCCTGGCCACCCCTCTCCATTCAGTGCCCTTCTTACCTCCACACCCAGTTCCCTCACCTCGGACTGGGAAGCCCCACCAGCCACTCAGGCCCTTTGGGGTGAATCAAGTCAGAGGCTGGCTAGACTGGAGAGGCCTTGGGAAAGGAAACAAGGCAGAGAAGGGAGACAGGAGGCCAGGGTCGCGGTGTGGAGGGTCATGTGTAGAGGCGCAGAAACAGGCTTGGGAGCCAGGCAAGCTTGGGGTTCAGTTTTCCTTCTACAGCCGTAGCTCAGCTCTCTGAGTTCTCCCAGCTCTCTCAGCCCCGGTGTCCCCATTTGTAACAGTGCCCACCTCACATGGGTGTTGCCAAGATTAAATGAGATAATTGAATACAAAGCACCTGGTCCAGTGTTTTTTAAATGGCATTTTTTTACAAAAAATGGTGTCATTATCATTTTCATCATCAGCGGTCATGGGAAAGCAAAAGAGCTTCTAGAATGTAGTAGGGGGTCCTTATTACCAGGGGACATTCATCCCAGTTATGGTACCAAATACCCCATTTGCCAAGGAAACAAAATACTTCGAATCAAGTGTTCACTACGGATTAAGGATTAAGCAAAGCAGGCTGCCTGGAAGAGACGGGTCTGAGACTGAAACTAGAAAAGCAAAGTGGACTGAACTGTGAGGCTGCAGTCGCCTGGCTCTGGGCCTCACCTGTGATAGCTTCACAGCTTCACCGTTGTGGGTCTGGCCATCCCCCTGTGCCTTGAGCCACACCCCCGGCCACCTCCTGCAGCCTTCCCATCAGAGCCGTGAGAAAACCCTGCTGCCCCATGGAGAGAGGGGTGCCAACAGCTGGGCTGTCCTTGCTTCCGTCGCTGGCATGTGTTCCAGGACAAGAGAGAGATGGGTTTGGTCAAGCAAGCTCAGGCCCAAAGGTGGACAAAGGTACTGCTGCTCTGGGGTCTCCTCCTGCCCTTCTCAGGGGGGTCGGGGAGTGGGGAGGGTTTGCTGTCCACTGAGAGAGCACATGAACAGGACCTAAGAAGCAGATGGTGCTGGCTTCCCGGTCTCAGCCTTGCACAGTGAAGGGCTGATGGACAGTCCTTCTCGATGGCTTTTTGCGTCTTTGCCTTTGTGTCATGCCACCATCTCTTCGCCAGGATTTTGGTCTCTCCCCCTATGTCTGAACTGACCCAACAGGAAGCAAGGGGCCCAGTTTAAACATCACCACCTTCCTGTGTGGGTCACCATGTGCCAAACAGCATTCCTGACCCTGTGGATTCACAGGGAGCCAGCCAGGCCTTCTGACCCTGCACAGTTCAGTGCGGCAGCCAAGCCAGAAATGAGGAGTGAGGGGTTGGGGGTCAGGAAAGACCCTGCAGAGGGTGTGCTGTTTGCTGACCTGAAGGAGAAGGGGCCAATGGTCCAGGGAGAGGGGGAGCTGCAGGAGGCTGGTGTGGAGCGCTGTGGGCAGGGCCAGGGGGAGAGTGGGAGGGCGAGATCCCAAGAGGCCAGAAGGCTGTCGCTGTTATAGGAGGATGTCAGGTAGGATGACCTCAAGGTCAGGTCCCACTGCTATGAGAAGGTGGACAAAATGCAGAAAAGAGACCAGAGGCTGCTACCAGCAAGAGGGAGACAGTGAACCTGGAGAGGGCAGAGGGAGAGAGCGTGGGGGGAAAGGGTGACACTGAGAAAGAGTGGGCAGTGGCCTCCACAGGACTGGCTGGCAGAGCCTCACCATCTCCCTTGGCTGTCCTCGGACTCCCAGGGGTGCAAAGCGTAGCCGGCGGTGGTGCATCTGCCCAGCCCCCAGCCTGTGGGGGGCTGCCCTAAGCTGGAAGGGGTGTCAAAGTAAGTTGTCACCAGCAGTCACAGCCCAAAGCTTTGGAACAGCTAACTAGTTTTGTAAAGTTTCCTTAGTCCCTCACAGCCCTGCATCCTTTGCAGAATGGGAGAGAGAGGGGTGGAAGGACAGGCTTGACCACAGGGTAGCGGGCACCACACACACCGGCTTCATGCCCAGCGGGCCCAGGAGACGCCTGACACCCTCCGCAGCCTGAAAGCTCAGCGCTGGCTGGAGCGTCTCAATCAGCACCGTGCTCCCCGTGCTCACAGAACAAATATTTGTCAGCGATTGGATGATTGGCAAATCCTTGGTGAGGACAGGCTCATGGCTCCTTGAAGAGCCCACACTAGATAAATGGCTAGTCAGTGACCTCAGAAGCCTTAGCCTCGACCCCTTGCTGACCTGTCCACCAGAAGCAGGGTGGAAGGGCCCGTGCCCTGGGAAAGAAACGGGCGCTGGTGTGCCCACTCTCCAGGGCCATGAGACCTTGGGCGACCTTCAGCTCCCAGCACCCCTGGAAGTAGGGATCCTGATTATCCTGCTGGGGCCATCCAGGGGGATGACAGAGGTGACAGTACCCCGCCCATGGCCCCCCAGTGCAGAGAACCGGTCCTGGCCCAGGAAAGCCAGCAGAGGTGCACAGGACCCACCATCTCACCAGCAAACTGGTACCATATTGTCAAGCTGGTGCCTCATCTAGAGTGAGCGAGAGCACGAATTCTGCATCACCCACCCACGTGTACTGCGGAGACGCAGAAGGATGGCGGCTCCGTCCAGCCCTCAGGGGAGGCCCTTTAGCTAGGGAGGCTGAGGTCCCCACCCAGGAGGCAGCCAGCAGATGGTGGTGACCATCCCAAGT